TAATGATCTACTTTAATGCAGAAGCGAATATGTAAACCCAATTTTTTATCCTACATTAAGTTATGTACTGAAAACAAAAAATAAAGAAGCAGTATTTTTAGAATTTGCCAAAAAATATAAGAATGATTTTCTATTCAGTGTATTCCATAGGCAGTACTTGCAATCATTGCTGGAATGGTGTTTTATATTCTTAACGCGGTTTAGTTGAAAATCCAATGCGGCACATAGTAATAAACTTACTTTGGTTTTTTAGGTTTCAAATGTCAGTAATAAAGAAATGATTTAAAAAATATGAGAAAGAGTGTGCGTATGAAATTAAATAGACATTTTTGTAGAATATAAACAGATTCAATTTTTTTTGGCATAAGGAAAATTGAAAATGTCCTTTTAAAATTTTATTCTTGAATATCCTTGAAATTTTGCAATATTTATTTTTGGGAAAATTATTTGTTACAGATTTATATAAACTCGATAACATACTAGAATTCGTCCTGCTAACTTTATCAGCTTAATATATTACCTATTAGTCCTTGTGAATCCAAGGAAAAAAGAAGAAGAAGTTAATGAATCAAGTATGAATGAATGAAGTACAAACAACCTACTTAAATATTGCATACCTCTTGGCATCGAACATTTTTACCCTGCAAATATCGGCTATACTAAACAGCAGTGTGACCAGGTTTGTAAAGTGTTTGTTGTACAATTAAGTTAAGTATCCAGCGATACGAACCGAAGAGATTTTGGGTAATCCGTCAAGTATTTAAGGATAATCGTAACAATATTTTTGTTCTAGCCTCCAAATTTTAGGTCTAGCTTCGTGGCCTTTTTTTTTGGGTTTTCAATGTTAACTTTTTATGAGTAATTTTCATCAACGCGTTTATACATAGAAATGCAAACATTACATAAGGTTTTGAAACCTTGAATTTTCGTGAATTCTTACAGCAAAACGTATGCAACTATGGTATTTCTGTTATAACAGAAGTCGGCAAAATTAGGAGCTCTTTGTAATAAACCCTTTTAGGTAGGGGTTTTTAAGTAAAATCTTACTTTTGGAAACTTTATTAGAAATCAAAGGAAGAATTGGGATGAGCTTGTCGCTGTGTGTCTGGTGGAAGGTTAAATTGGTATAGCGTCATCATAAAATATTTCGTAAAAATGTACCCCATCTTTCGCTTCGGTGGATCAGAAAAGGCCTTTTATGGCCTATTTAATGAGTACCGCTCACCTGAATTTGTAGAAGTGGCGTTGAATTTTTCAGAGCAAACCCGCTTTTTAAACTAGTTTTTTTCACTGCCTTTTAACTTTTTATAACCTTTCTTAAAGTAAATTTTGCTCATTTTCGATTTGCGATTATCTGGTCACATTTACATAAAGTACAAGCGTTTCGTTAGCTTAATATAGAAAAAACTTATAATTTAATGAAAGGCATCGTAATCAATTAAAAAGTGAATTTTGGATTTTTATTTAGTTACGACTTTTTATGTTTCAGCGACGATGTGAGATAGGTACTTTCTATTTATACATACATATTGACGTAACGGTTTGCTCATTTAAAAAGTAAATAGATACAATTTTTTTAACAAATTGTGTTAAGTTAATTGAATCGCCTCACATTTATTTATCTGCAATAATATAATTTTTTTTTATTTATATACAGCAGTTATTTTTATAACTGCACCTCTCAATTACACATCTGCTCCACAACTTTTCACTCCATCGCCTCTGTTGCGGCACTCAAGTGTGTGCGTATAAAATCATGATAGTATGCCACACTTGCATGCACATCTGGGTATCCCTTCGCACAGGGCAATCCCCAATTGACTAACGCCACCAAGGTGCCATTGTGCACCAAAGGACCGCCAGAATCGCCATGACAAGCGCCTTTACCGTTATCATTGAAAGTACACAGATGTCCTACATCAACATAGTTGGATAGATTGTCTGGATGTGACTTGCGGCATTCCTCATATGGCACCACACGTACGGTCAGCGTCTGCAAAATATCCGGTATGGACCCACCTAACGCCATTGTACCCCAACCGGTGAGCACGAGTTCCTCATCCTTTTTCAGTGACTCATAACCGTACTTTACCGCCTGGGTGTGTTCATCAAACACAATCGTGCCATTCAAATGCAACAGCGCAATATCGTTGGCGTATGGTGGATGATTGTAGCTTGTGTGCATCACAATGCGATCGGGATAGTAATATTTGCCAGTATTGTTTTTAAGATTTTGTGCACCTGTGAAAATTTGAATTTTTGTAGCTGATGCTCCTGAAACACAATGTGAGGCAGTAATGATCCAACGCTGGTCGATAATAGCACCACCACAGAAGTGACGACCCTTAAGGTTCTGCATGGAAATTTGATATGGTGCGAATCCCTCAGGCGCCGCTTCACCGCCCACTATGCGAGGATTCGATTGCGGCGGATAGATAACTTCATCCTCGTCCTTGGTAATAGTGCGACCGCGAACCACTGCGAGGAGGGCGACTTGGAGAAGTAGTAAACCGATTGTTTTGTGTTGACACATTACGTGGTGAGCGAGTAACTACCTGATTATGAAAACAGTTGAGTTTTTATACTAAACTTAGAGCTATGTCTTATATCTATTGTAAAATGCATTTAATATACGGCAAATCGGGAACCCTTGCGGAGAACTTATCATTAGCTCGTCATTGACATTTATGCAAGCGAAGGTAAGACCTGCCGTGACAAAGCAAAGTTTGGTAAATTAGCATATTTATCCGCAGTGCTGTATTCACTTAGTCGCATATATATGGGACGTTCCATGTCAAACGGACCAAAGCTCTGTTCAAAATTCTATGGGATAAAAATTAACGTAAATCATGCCAAAATACTTGCGAATTCATAATGCATCAAACAAACCGTGGCAGAATTGAAAATTCAGTATTACGTAAATGCTGCGACCCCTAGAAGACGTCATGTCAGTAAAAGCGTAAATAAATTTGTCATTCAGTTTGTTAAAATAGTTGTGAGTTATTTGATCGAGAGGGATTCCAATGTCTTTAGGGTCGCTGATCACGAAATTCGATATTAAAAATGGCGGATCCAACATGGCGGACGATTTTTATAGAATTTATCGGATTCACTTAGAATTCGTTACTCGGGGGGCATATGGGTCGCTGATTACGAATCAGAAATAAGATTGGAAAAATTCAAAATGGCGGACCCATTGTGGCAGATAAAAAAAAGCAAAATCGATTGGATTCGTTTAAAGCTTTACAGTTGGGGTTTTTTAAAGTCGCTGATTATGAATCTGAAATCAAATTAAAAAAATTCAAAATGGTGGATCCATATTGGATGGACCATTTATTTACGGAAAAGTTAAAATTGAAAGTAAGTACATGGCGTATGAGTAACATTTTAAGCTCATCTAGGTAAGCTGCTAGCTCAGATAGCAGGCCGTGAGCTCTAACAGCTTTATAGTTTTTCCGCAGCCATTCGTACATCGTCATAGTCACGTTTTGGGATATCGAATCCGTCGTCTTCTACTAAGGGCTCGTGTTCATATTCTCCCAGGTTTCAATGCTGACTTTGTTACCCAAGGGCAATTTGATTACGGAACCCCGTCTGCTCGGTTTTAAGATTTATTTGCCTTGAATACAGAACATTATAGAGCACTAATATTTAAGACGTCGACTAGAGGAGGCGATACTGGTCACTGCTTATAGATGGAAAACATTTCGTTAATTTGAAAGTAAAAACTAACACATTCCCACTTCCTTGTGACAATGCCCACCTCTGACTATGATACTGCGTTTCTAAGGGATTAATAATTTTACCAAAATGTGTAAGAAAAGCTCCTCAAAGGCAAACTGCAGTGTAAAATGTATAGATTCCCATGAACATCGCTTTCCAAAGTCAATATCTAGGAGTAGTTACTTGAAGAGATCCAAATAGACTGTGTAATATCCAAGCAGTGTCTAAACTACCTTTAAACTAGTTTTTTTTTGTGCAAATCAATTAAATAGTTTGTTAATTGTGCTTCTATGACTCAGCACCTCCTAGTGGGCAGCTGGTCAGCCATCGCATAATTTCATAATAGTTTTTAAATTTCAATTCTTATTATTTTTGGGGTAAAGCACTGCGACCTCAAGATCGATTGTGCCCCCTTTGTCGATTTATAGTGTTTGTTAACACAACATCCGAGGGAAACTTTGGTATTGAGTCTAGATTTCACTACGCCCTCGGTTATTAAATATTTAACCAAGTGTCTTTTGCGTTTGCGCATCAATGCCGGACGGGCGCCGTGCAGTTTTCACAGCCGTTCTGCAAAATTTACATCGCTGCAGGTGATAGTTCAGCCTGCAGTGCCCTGTCAGAATTCCTGTAATAATTCTTAAATAATTCTTGGATAAGATTATATAAGGCTTTATGGATTACGTGTGCCCAAAATTGATTTGAAATGCCCTGGAGCCTCTTCCTCCAGCTGGACCAGGGTAGAGAGTGCCCCCTTTCCTACGTCACAGAAGGCTTCTCGGCCAATTGAAGAGGTTTATGATTATTTCTTCGTAAGTTTTTCGGTTACTCGTTCTCCTCAATACCAATATGTCCCGGAGTCCAGAGGAACTAAAGTCGATTGGTGAAACCAAGAGTATTCAGCTTGTCAAGGCACTCCATCCCCAATTTAGATGTCACGTGATGAGCGCCTTAGTGAAAGATCGCACTGTTCTGATTTCGGTAGTTCCGCTTGATATTAAGTTTCCGCCTTAAAATTTTACATATGTTATATAGATTTCGAGAAATTCACCCTCAATTCAATTATATATATATATATTCAAAGTTTTAATTTAATGATCTAATGCATATGTTGACTTAAGTCTAAAATAACAATCGAGCATTGTTGATGATTCTTGAACTCTGTAAATACTTTCGTATACTAAGTGGTATGCAACAACAAATTCATCAAAAATAACATTAAGCATTCGTTGACAAAATGGAGATCTTTATTACTGTTTCGCTGGTGGTAAGTACTGAGGAGCAGCCGGATTGATGGCATTCGAAGGTTGATCCTCGTATTGCGCAGCCGTATCCTGCTGCTGCTGAATCAACGGTTGCTGACCCAATTGTTGCTCTTCTTCGTCCTCTTCCTCCTCTGGCGCATCGAGCGAACCCACAACTGAAGTTACCGGCGCTAAACCCTCATCGGTAATGGTGGAAGTGCCGCCTAAACTGTCATATTGCGATTGAATTTGACGCTGTGCATTAGCGGCTTCCTCAGGTGTGCGATACTTGATGAAGAACACTTCGGGTTTGTTAATCTGCTGTGGCTCCTCCTGAATGGCCTCTTGTAAATCGGTAGCAGATGTCTTCTTCGCCAGCACATAAACAACAGTTTTCTCCTCTTTGAGTGCCTTGGCCAGATTTACAGCAGCAACCTTGCTGGTCTGTGCTGGTGTTTTCACAAATAGAACATTGTAATGTTTGCGTGGTTGTGCGGCTAAATGGTTCAATTCTTCGCGTAACTCATCTTCGTTATCTTCAGGTGCGGTGTGTATGAAGAAACTTTTAGTCACTATAGGTTTCTTAGCGACCTTGACACGTTGACGTGAACGGCGTTGTTGTTTGGCGATACTAATTGGTGCGAGTGGCAATCGGAAGCCAGCTGGTGCAGGGAGATTGGCTGGCATGGGTAGGGGTGCAAGCTTTTGTGGCGGCAGGGGATACAATGGCTGCAGTGCGGGTAATGGTTGCCTTTGTTGTTGTAGCATGGGTAAATATTGCTGACCCGGCTGGGTGATTTGCATCGGATTGCCAATACTGCCTGGCATTTGTTGTTGCAGCAAGTGCATGATTAGCGGTTGTTGGAAACCAGGGTTGTAGGGTGGATGCTGCCATTGATTATTGTTATTGTAGCCGTTATGTAGAGATATGTCGGCGGATGCCAGTGTTGCCAATGCCAGCGAAAGAGGCTGTATAGGGAAAATAAAGTCAGCAGATTTATCAGTTTGCTTGCTAATTTGATTGTAAGGATCATAAATATTTTCATACTAACTACATATCGACACCTGAGTGGAAGATCGACCTATCCGGGCAGCCAGCTCGAAAACGCCCTATCTCAGAAAACTTTTCAAGAAGCGGCAGCTGAGGTATGACGTTTTTCAATAAAATTCTGAAATAGGGCGTT